GCAAATGGTGTGGCACATTGATTGGTTTGCTTTGTTCTTTCTTGTTTCTAATATGATCACCAACCAAGTTTGAATTTGAATGAATTTTTGCCCTAGGTTAGCATTCAAAAATATCTCAAAAAAGATCTGAAAACAGGAAATTTGCATTTTTTTATTTTTAGAGACTCTACAGTATTAAGAAAAAGGAAGGCATTTTACTTTCATTAACACAAATGAGATAGCAAGTTCTTTATATATCACACCCTGTTTTAGTGTGATTTAGCTCATTAACCCACCAGGAGATCTTGGGCCCAATTTTACCAAAAACAGCTAGTAGGATCAATCAAGTGCTACTTATGTTCTATTATTGTATTTCTTTTAATTATTATTAACTAATAAACATTATAAACAGAAACTCTTTTTCTAGTTATAAATTATTTTATTACTATATTATTTTTCTTTACCATATGTTTACTGATGGGGCATTTTATTCAACACTGATTGTTTTCTTGTTTTTAAAATATGCCACATCAGCAATAAAATGAAAACATTTTGTTAGTTAAGAAAATATATTTCGTAAAATAAGCTTGCTTGATCCATTCTTTAGTTTGTTGTACATAGGCCCCATTCATTTTCCAAAAAGTGGGGGCAAGTAATTTGGTGGGTCCTATAAAAAATAAATTGAGTTCGTATTTTGGTATTAATGGGTCGTACTAAAAATAAAGACTCCCAAGCGACTCATTTGTTGGGCAAAAATACCCTAATGAGACTTGGATAAATCATTTACCCATCCGTGCCAAAAATTGCTAATATGTGATGGGACAATATTGTCCCTTCATTTATGTCACTTTATTGGATAAAACGATTATTGTATAATTTTATTTGTGAAATAAAAGAATATTGATAAGTGCATTTATTCGGGTAAATGTTTTTCCCATAAGGCTGTTTTTGGTTGCAGTACAATTTTATTTGCACTAGTACAAATGCATGGAGTAAAAAATACAAATTCTGGTTTAACTTAGTTTTGAGTTTTACTTTATTCTCCTTCATGTCTTCATTTACTTTATTTGTACTACAATCAAACAAAATAATTTAAAATTTGAAAGAAAAATTGTTCAGAATTTACACTCAAATCATTTTCACTGCCATAGTTTTGCATCAGTATAAATTTATTTGCATTACAATCAATACAGCATAAAACACTTGTCCGGATAAATGCATTTGCCCAGACAAATGACTTAATGAAATACAAAAGAAGATGTTCTTTTATAAATCTTACTAAAGCTCTTATGAATTAGACTTACCCACGCAGCTAAATGGGCATGGATCAAAGTATAAACGTATGAGAGTTCAAGTGAGAAGAATGCAAATTATGGTTAACTTTTGCTTTGGGTATTTCTTTATTTTGCTTCAGGGTTTTACTTTATTTCATCTGCAATGCAAACAACCAAAATAAGGTAAATGTTAAAATAAAAATAAAAATTAGAATTTGCACTCCCATACTTTTGCACCAGTGCAAATAAATCAAGCCAAAACAACCAAGAATATGTATGTATTATTTTGTTTTAAAAATCAATGCTTTTGCAAATTAAGGGTAGAACCATTGGGACCCATTTTTTGAGATTTAGATGAAGCCTTCAAATAGGACAAAAAACAAACCTCATGGCCTGTAAACAACCCAACATTAAGTGGTGTTTGCTAATTGGTCGTTTTCTTTGAAGTAGTTTTCTCAACAAAAAGAGTTCCACGTAATAATGTATCTTCACTAGCTATTTTCACAATCTGAAAAGTGAAAACTTATTTTTCTTGTCTGTTTTCATTTTAAAGAGTCAGCTATCAGAAGTTTTTTTGTTTTTAATTTGGCAAACGACTATCAGCAAAAGGTAAGCAAAAAAAGATGGCAAAAGCATATCTCACTGATGATATTCTCCATATCCATGAAGGTTTATGTTTTTATTCTTTTTTAAATATTAAGAAAAAATGCATGTTTTTTAATACAAAATTTCTGAAAACAAAGTGAAAAAAAAAATTAGTTTTAAGTAAGAAAAATAACATTATTAGTAAAATAATGTACGAATCATGCTATACACTCTCCAGTTCTGGTATAAAGCTTGTACGAATCATGCTAACCCACATTCAAATTAATTGATTTGGGTAAAGTAAAATAAAAATGAAAATAAAATTAAGATAAAAAAAAATCAACTAGATATCCATTAATTATCCATTCAATCAGAATCTTTCTTTGAATATTTTATGCTTTGTTTAATGTAATACCAAACCACAAGAGTAAAAACATGTTTTTGAAACGAAAAATTCATGGATTTATTTTGGGTTTTAAATTACAAGCAATACACCACAAAACCAAAATCGCTTTTCTGGTATTTTTGTTTCAAGAATCAATGTTCTTTTCAATCAAGGGCACATAGAATCTTTGTTTTTAGAATTGACAACGAATTTAATACATATATACACAATGACAATACATCTCTCTACAAGCATGGATGGAATCTTTCCCTGTTAATCGATCACTCTCACCGCGTTTATAATCAAGCCCTGATTAGCTAAACTTGATAGCTGTAATAAGGGCTGTGTAACCAACAATAGTGCCCCACTCCACATCAGTCATACATGCCAAGTGAGAGATTGAGTGATGGTGGGGCATATCCACTTTATGGCTGACATGGGGCATTATTATTGGTTACACAGACCTTATCACACCCATCAAATTCAGCTAATGCAGACTCGTTTAAATCCAGGTTGAATTTGAAAAAAAAAAAAAAATTCTTGTGACCATATTGCATGCAACTCCCAATTATGAAATATGAATGCGTCAGCATTTGAAATTAATAAATAAAAAGTTTATGCGATGCCTTCAATTTATTGTAATTGCTGGGTTGTTTGCATTTTATTGAGAGTCTGGATCTGCTGTCCAGCCAACATCGGTTGTGTTGTGGTGCAGCTGGATGAACATGACCAACAATGTATTGTGGTCAGAAGATCCGAACTCTTTTATTGGAGGGTCTCAGAATTGTACTGCTACTTCAGTCTTGAATTTTTCAACTTCACTACAATCCCTACCCCACCCTTGACCTAGAGATCACTACAAGAAAATCAGGCTAAGCCGGCAGTCAGTGGACACCCTTGGCCTAGAGAGAAACTGAAAAGCCAAAACGGAAACCTTCGTTTCAGTTTCTTCAGTTTAATTGTTTTGGTTTTGGGGTAAATCAGTTCAATGAATTGGGTTTTGGTCTTCAGATTTAAAAAATCAGTTAACTGAAAAAAAAATGTTTTAATCGAAATATATATTTGGTTTTAACTAAAATAACCAAAACAAAAAACGAATTGAAAATTTCAGTTTAGCTTTTCCAATTAGAAGTTGAGTTTAAAAAGGTTTGGTTTATTTGATAAAAAATGCAGCGAAATAAACCGAATGCCCATCTCTATCAAGAACCTCCAAATGCCTTATTCATCAAAATCATTCCCCTGCGTCTCTCCAGTTGCCTTCTCCTTTCTCAATGAATTCCTTTCACTGTGGAATAATAAGTTGTAGAGGTTTGATTTTTCACAAGTTTGTTGGCATTTCACCAACCAACCTAATTTTATTTTGTTTTCTAAGTATCAATGAGCCATTATATTTCCGTTCTAGGTATGACCATTCCCCATCATTCTTTTCTATCTACATACAATTTGATTTGCTGGCCACGCTACGAAGTATGAGAGGCTTTAACTGATCATTGGTCTTTTCTCAATGTTACTGAGCATTAAGAGACAAGAGTTGTTCCATTTATAGGTATAAAACGAGCCAGATTATCCATGAGCCAGTACGGCCCGGCACGATGCACATAACTGGCACAGCTTGACCTGCCGCATAGCTCCGGCACGGCCCACATTACACCTATACTTATATTCGTACTGAATTTTTCACCGAGTATGCGGACCAGACAGTCCATTCACAATAAATATATAGGACAAACATCATTCCAAGGTAAAGCAGTGAAAGATCAGACTCTTTGTCTTTCATTTTTTTTTTTTTTTGGTAAAGGACTCTTTCATCTTAAGCATGCAAAAATGCGAATACATTTGTTTTACTTTGTAAACAATCTTTACATCATTGATTATCACCTTGTATGCTCTTCAAAGAAAGCACATTATTAACCAACACTGAATCTGGGTCATCAGCCCTTCAATTCAAATGACTGACTGACAGCCTATTTGGGCTATCTGGATCAAATGCAGTTTAAAAAAGCTAGCCATGTGCACTGTCATCGGCCTTCGGCTTTCCCAAACGGGGACTTGGTTTATCGACAAAAGTCCAATTCAAGCTGAACGAGTTTGAACTTTGAAAGGTGGTTAACTCGTACTTTCTCGACAGACAAAACATCCACCGGGAATCTGATTGGTAGATGGCAATGGAACTACCTAACCAACCATTAGGCTGTTACAAAACAGACTCTGAGACAGTTACAATGGTCACATATGAGACATGGCACTTGACAATTTTGGTTATAAAAATTAGATGATCAACCCAGCGCTGTAAACACCATGGCACGTCTCCATGCCAAGGTTCAAAATATCGAGCGAATCAATACTGTTTTTTTTTTCTTTTTTTTTTTCGAAACCAATTCAGGGGGTTGTTTTAGGTCTCCACCCCCTGAACCGGTTAGACCCCCAATACACCCACTACAGGAGCATATCAGAGGGGTCCCGGAACAATACGAATTGGCCGACACGGGGTGATATATATCGATACTTTGAACCTTGCTCCATGCAGCTGATAGTCCATGCAAAGTAATGGGGTCTAGTTTCTCGTGGCTGTGAACACCACTAATTCTTTCTATCTAACCCTTCACCTCTATCCAAAATCGGGGAGTCTAAATAAATACACAAAAAAAAGGAAATCATCCCGATATCAATCCATACTTTCAAAATCATATATACACCCTAATGGGAAAGAACAAAAACCCATAGCGTGCTAAAGTGCAACCATCAATTATGAATTATCAACCTCCTCTTCTCATTATCTAACTGCTATCAGTGAAATCCGCATCAATCACATCACCATCAGGTGTCTTGCCAGCTGATCCTGAAGAAGGCCCGGCCTCTCCACCAGGTGCAGGCCCAGCACCAGGTGACCCAGGTTGGTTGTATAGGGACTGCCCAAGCTGCATTACTTCTTGGTTGAGCGCAGCCATAGCATCTTTCATCGCCTGGGTTGACCCACCAGAA